TTTCATGTTAGAGCCCTAATTTCAAGTGCTGTGTGCTCTACTCTTTGTCCCAATCCCCAAGATCCACATCTGTGCCCCTATTGATGGCTTTGCCCACTTGGCTGGCCTTCCCTTAGAATTCACCAATGGTCCCTTACGGCTGATCTGCTCTTTGCTGTATAGTTTTGTGTTTTTCTTCCCCTCCAGTGCTGCCTTCTAGCATAAAAGTAGAGTAGCTCACGGATGAGTTGTGTCTACTTTGGATAAGCTGCGGTAGCTTGAAGATTACTGTCTTGCACTTAGCCATGAAGAGGTCAAAGGTAAAGTTCAGGTACTTTAGAAAACTTAAAAGGCCTTTCATGATTAGCCTCTGCACCTCTTTGACCTTATTTTTACCACTAATAATTTGAACTCTGATCTAGAGGGCTATTTGCAGTTCATAAATCCTCATTTTCCATTTTCCTTTCCTGCCTTTGCATATGTTCTGCCTTTAATAAGTACACTGTTCACTTACCCATCCACCACTCCTGAACTCATTCAGGTGTTTGCCCAGCTAGAATGTTACTCTCTTCAGGAGAGTGACCTCCTAAGTCCTGCCCCTGACCTAGCACTTCTCCTCTCCGCTCTCACAGCTCGCTATACATTCAAGGAACCATTCTTACTGCTTTCGCAATTGTGATTCAATTGGACAATTTGTACGAAGCACTTATTAGTACAGTGCCTGGCCCATAAGCAAGCACTGAAATAGTGTTAGTTATTATCTTCCGGCTTCCCTCCTCATAAGCTACTCAGACCCACCTAGGTTATACTTTGTTACTTCCTCCTTAGCCCTCTTACTTTACCTACCTTGTCTTTGATGAGGGTCCATGTGGTATCAGCTTCATCCAGTGTTAGCAGCTGGGGGGTACCAACCAACATGTTGGGATATGGGAAGGGTTAGGCAGGGCAATGGCTGCTGCAGAAACCCCGAGCTGCCCAGAGAGGTGAGGCTTGGCCTTAGGCTCTGACCTACTACAACATGAGGTCATAGAGGTCTTGCTGGAGGATGGGTGTTGGGTGTGAGAGGGCAGTCACCTTAGCCTCACTGTTCTCACATTCTGAGTCTACTCTTTTGAGTCATCTACCTATTCTGCTTTAGAGAAGGAACATGCAGGTACCATTAGGGTATGTATGTATGAGTGTATGTAGTTCTTTAAGGAAACAGGATTAGGTCTTTCCTCTCTTCAGCAGTCTCCTTCAAACAATTTGATATGCTGTCTTGTCACCTGCAGATGACTTCTTTGTGAGGTTGCAATGGAGTCCTGAAGCGCACAGGAGAAGAACAGATCAGGACTTAAACTGGGAATCAAGTAGTAGTTCTCAATCCTGGCCATATTTTGGAATTACCTGAGAGCTTTGAAAATTACTGATGCCTGGCCCTGGCCCATGTGGCTCAGTTGGTTTGGTGTCGTCCTGTTCACCGAAGAATTGCTGCTTCAATTCTGGTCGGGGGCACATAGCCTGGTTGCGGGCTTGACCCCCGTGGGGGCCATGTGGGAGTCAGCTGATACTCTCTTGCATTAATGTTTCTCCCGCCCTTTCCTCTCTCTCTCAAAAACAAACAAAAGTCAATAAAAAATGTTGAAAAAAAATTACTGATGGTTGGATCCTACTCTCAGAAATTCTGGTTAAATTGGCCTGCAGTGTGGTTGGGCATCAGGATTTCTAAAAGCTCTTCAGGCAATTTTAATATGCAGCCTGGGTTGAAACCCATTATTAACAAGTGGGTTCCCATAGCAGTGAAAACCAGGAGTGTGTGTGTAGGAGAGTGCCATGCCGAATGGTGATAGTGTGAGGGTAAGAATCTAATTGGGGTCCTGCTGCCTTCGTAACTGGAGAGAGCTCTCAGGAAGTCAGAATTACTCAGGTAAATTTGTGGAAATTTTTCTTCATGTTCTACTCCCTGTCCTTGCCTGAGCTGTGTGTAGTGTGTACTGTCCAACTACAGCTCTAATCAGCGTGCGATTTCCCCTTGTGTCTGTTTAGAGATCTCAAACTGCTCTTTTGCTGGAAAAGAAGAGTGTTTCCTGAAGCGAAGTACTCTAGAGCAGCAGTCACCAACCGGTGGTCCGTGAGGTCTGGAAGGTTGGCGAACGCTGCTCTAGAGAGCCTTTCTGATAGCTACTTTCCTGCCCTGCCGCTTATCTATCTAAAGAGCTCTCTCGAAAATTCTGGGGACTTCCCTGGGGAAAAACAGACCATCTACAGCAGGTGACCAGAGCGGAGATCATGAGGTCAGCCAACCGGTGGGACTGATCATCCAGAGAACACGAGGTTCTCTGCAGGCAACCTCTAGGGCAGGATAGAATAGTGTGGATAGCAAAGACTTCAGAGTGATCAAGGACCCTAACACATCACTTCTCTCAGGTTACAGGGATAATTGTATAAGTTTCTAATCCATCCCTTATTTAAAAATTTAAGGGATAAACGTGTTTTGTAATTCAAAATTTTTTATTATTTAAAACATTGTAACATGCTTTTATTGATTTTAGAGAGAGAGAAAGGGAAAGGAAGAGAGAAATATCTATGTGAAAGAGGAACAATGATCAGTTGCTTCCTGTATGCACCGTGACAGGGGATGGAGCCTGCAACCTGGGCATGTGCCCTGACCAGGAATCCAACCAGTGACCTTTCAGTGTACCCAACAATGTCAACCAACTGAGCCACACCAGTCAGGGCCTGTAATTCAGAATTTTTTAGATTTCAGAAAGGTAATATAGTGTCTTTAGGTAAGAGACACAGACATGGAGCAAAACAAACTGACAGTGTGGGGAGGAGACAGATGCAGAGGTATAGAGACACCCCAGTGAGACTTAGGGCAGAGCTCTATGATAACACATCAGTATTTCTGCAGCTAAGTGTAAGAATAGTCACACGAAAATAAATATAAATACAATTGTGAATGTTTCAGGTGACCTTCTGGATCAAAGTTATGAAAAAACTTGTTTGTTCAGAGATTATTTATTTTAACTTTGGGGATTATGGGCTTATAATTGTTCTCAGGTTGTTTTTTGGAGCAAGAGGGTGCTGGTAAAGCCTTCTAAACATATCACATGGTAGGTATGTATGTAATCTCAATCCAAAATAAATTAAAAATGTCCAAGGGGGTCGAGTTTTAGCTTGCAAGGAATAAAATTTTTATGATGAACAATGCAGTTTTGGAATCAGCTGTCTTGGGGTGCTGTGCACAACCAGGGGGTGAAACTGCCTTAGAAGAGAGGTTCCTGTGCTGGGAGGTTGACAGAATTCATTGCTTATTAACATTGGCTGCCATGATTTCACTTTTCATGCACCAGAGGGGAAAGGCAAAGTATGGTGTGTGTGTGTGTGTGTGTGTGTGTGTGTGTGTGTGTGTGATAGGACTGTCAACATTTTTACAATCTAATAAATATCCTATTGCATACATCTTTGTTCTTATTGATAATTGTCAGGATAGATTTATTGAAGAGGAATCCCTATGAGAAATATATGGACATCTTAAAGACCTGTATCCCTTTAAGATTAGAATTTTATCACAATTGTCTACAGAATTATTGTCTGGAGGGCTTTTTAACTCAGAACTTTATGAGTTCACATTTGGGTTGAGGAAAAGTGTAAATTTCTTCCTCTTCCACTTGGTTGCAGTGTGACTGCACCTCTGAAAATCATAGCTTCTGGGCTAGCTCTTCAGACCCCATGTAGCCCTGTAGATGGCAACCACCTGCCTTCTCAGCCATGTGGCCTCCTGTGCAGTGTCCCATGGTATGTGATGCAGCTATCTGCTCTGGCCAGCATTCCACCTGGATTCATGTCTTCGTGGCTAACTCCAATATTTGTGGTTATGATAGTTTTCCTGGAGCGCTTGGGTCTGCTTATGCAGCCTGCAGCTTTCTATGACCTCATAACAGTGCCTCCCCTGCCTTAGGTCTGAGATTATACTCATTCTGGACTCCATTCTGGTATGAGAGATCTTTTGTGCAATATCCCTCCTAGGGTGGAGTGCAAAGTTGGGCAACACCGCGTCACAACCCGTTAGTGTCTCTTCTCTGGAGCCACAGCTATGTGAAATATTCCTATTTCAGCATATTGCAACAACAGCACGTGCTTCTGATGACGTTGGCCAGGGCAGGTAGGGTTGTTGATGAGGCTTTTACTTGGGAGTTTTACATTCTTGGCTGAGGATGTGCAAAAGGGCAGATTGGTAAGAGATCAGAGGGATTCTGGACTTCAGGCAAGCAGGCAACATAGTTACAATGGCTTTCCGGGATATAAAAATTTATTTCAATTGGACTCCTGACCCATGGAACTGCACACCTTGAGAGAGAAAGCTTCTAGCCATTAACTCTTAAGACTTTGGCAGTGGAGTGTGTGTGGGGTGGGAGTGGGGTGTAGTAGGGATATAGTCATTACACAAGAGACCAAGAAGATTATCTGAACTGGGAATATCTTAAAGATCAGTGTCCTGGTGAAACTGGGACCCCAGGACATATTCAGATTCTCAAGGTGGGGGATAAGCCTGTGTGACTCCTTCCCTACAAACTGGCTACAACAGAATCTGACTTCAGAAATAGGGCTGTGATCCCAGACAAGAACTCGTCTTCAGAGGCACTGTCCCTCTTCCCAGACCCCTAGATTCAGGATCTGCAGAGGAGCTATTGTGAGGGAACAGGGGCAGAATTAAGTTAAAATGATGGGGAGAGGCAAGGAGGAGAGTTTTCTTCAAATCTTGTGTGCTAGGATCCCACGATAATTCCTGATCTTATTTTCCTTGCATGGTAGCATATTGGCCCCTGTCTCCTGCCTCCCCCCAAGTAGGATATGTGGCTAGGCCTAACTACACATTCCAGTGGTACACATAGTAGGGGCTTCACAGCAAACTGTTGAGTGATTATGAGAGTCACATGCAGATAATGAGGCCAATGACGTAGTTCATACTTCCAGATTCCAGATTTTTTGAATGTTCCCCCAGCTCCTCCTCCAGGCTTCATTGTTTTCACTGCCCATCAGAACTGGCTTTTCCTGAACATGAAGGTTTCCAGGAGCCGGTCCCTGATCTGCTTGGTGCGGGCCCCGTAGATGAGAGGGTTGAGGGCAGGTGGCAGCAGCAAGTAGATGTTAGAGAGAAGGATGTGCACAGGCTTGGGGACAGTGTGACGACCAAAGCGGTGTGTGAGGTAGGAGAAGAGACCAGGCACATAGAAAGCCAGGATGACACAGATGTGGGAACTACATGTGCCAAAGGCCTTAGCACGGGCCTCCTTGGTAGGCAGTCGCAGCACGGTGTGGGCAATGAGCCCATAAGAGCCAGTGATGCCCAGAATATCTACACCTGACACGGCCAGGGAGAGGGCTAGCCCATACAAATTGTTGGCCCGAGTATTACCCACCACCAGCTCCACCACCGCCATGTGTGCACAGTAGGCATGCTCTATGGTCTTGGCTTGGAAATGTTCAAATCGTGCCACCAACAGAGGGAAAGGCACAACAATAGCCACAGCTTTTAGTGCCAGTGCCAGGACCGCGTATCCCACACGAGCTTTAGTGACAAGGATGGAATAGTGCAGTGGACTCCCTACCGCCACGGCACGATCACAGGCCATGGCCAGCAGGACACCAGATTCCATGGCAGTCAGTGCATGGACAAAGAACATCTGGACCAGGCAGGCAGCATATGGCACAGGGCGGGTCCCGAACCACATCACAGCCAGCAACCCAGGGCCTACGGAAGTGGCTAAACCCAGGTCTGTGGCTGCCAGCGTGGCCAGGAGGAGAAACATGGGCTGGTGCAGTGTGGAATCTACCTGCACCACTGCCAGCATTGTTCCATTGCCCAGCAGGGCCAGCAGCTACATGGGCCCAAAAATCAGTGTCAGCCAGGCTTGGGTTCCCTCTAGCCCTGGAATGCCAGTCAGTAGGAAGAAAGCTGGGCGTGTGAAGGTGGCATTGGGCAGTGAAACTTCTATCATCCTGTGTAGGGTAAAGCTTTAAGGCTCATGGGGGCATGACTCTTGAGAGGAAAAGGACAAACAGAGAGATTTTTGGGGGTGTCTCAGTGGCAGCACGGTGTGGGCAATGAGCCCATAAGAGCCAGTGATGCCCACGATAATTCCTAGAGTATGTAAAGGGTAGCATAGGGCTGAGAAGATCACAGGAGATTTGAATGGATAATCAAGACCATAACCCTAGCTAGGATGGGAGAAACCTTTGCACTTGAAAGCTCATGAGGGTAGGGAGAGAGACGGGACAGTGGTAGTGAGGAAGGGAGGTGGTCACTGCTGTAGTGGCTGGTACAGTCAGAGCCCTTCAGTTGGGGATGTCAGCTGAGATATATGTTTTTCTTACTCATAATAGAGTCAGTCTCAGTCCCTGGTGGTGGGGTGAAAGCCCACTGGGTGGGGATCAGGCCTTAGGCTGGTCCTGTCCCTGACTGTGTATCCTTAAGAACAACTTCTGGGCCTCAGGCTTCCCATCTTTACAATGGGGGTGGGCTTAAGCACCAGTCAGCTTTAACATGCTGGGAAGTTACCCTCCAAGAAGAAAGGGGGAGAGTAAAGAGAAAGGCAGAAACAGGAAGAGAAGGTAGAATGGAACCTGGAGTGAAGGTGGAAGCTTTGTATGACAGGAGAAAACTAGTAGGTTTTGGGGGTGTGGGGTGCTTACGTTTCCGTGAACTCGATGCTGAAATAGGGAACTTGAACACTGGCTGAAGAGTTGAAGTTGGACCTGGGATGCAATGAAGAAAGGGAGAAATGGCAGCAAAAAAGGAACTTCTCTCTTTTCCTTCGTTACAGTCCAGAAGAGGCCCTACGAGAGTCTCATTCCTGATATGCCAGAGGGAGTGGTGACAGAGGGAGGAAATGGCAGTCAATCTGAGGTAGAAGCGTTCTTGGTGCTGAAAGAGTCAGGGTGAGCAGAACCGATTCCTCCAGAGTCTAGCCCACGGCAGAAGCTTATGCCTCTTGGATGAATAAATGGAGGAAGAAAACAACAGAAGACTTGACTGGGGAAGGATCCTGAATGCGGTGTGTTGGCAGCTTTTCTTTGCCTTGACCTGTGCCTACCAGGCCCTTTATGTGGCTGCTACACCTGCTTCCTTCAGGCCCTCCCCCTCCCACCCGTGCCACATTAACTCTTCCCTGTTCCATCTTTGCTCAGTGCTGATAGGTCTGGTAACTCAGGAAGTAGAGAAAGGAGACAGAGACAGGGCCACAAAGAAAGAGACTAACTTAGGGGAGTAGAAGATCTGGGAAAGAGGAACACTTCCCCTGGGAGGTCTTTGCTGCAGAGAAGACCTTGCTTTACTTTTTAATAGCATCCCCTTTATTATAATTACTTGTCTCTCCTTTTCCCACTAGACTGAAAGAGTTAGAGTCAGCATTTCTTATTAGCTCCAGTACCTCCGTTATGCATCAGAGTGCCTGGCATGCAGTTGTCTATGAATAAATATTTATTGCTTTTAATTGTGGGGCAGAAGTGCTGGTCCAAACAGTGTTTGCTGTGGGAGCCTTATGTATCCATGGAGATGAGAAAGAATTAATTGCCACCAACCACATACACTGAGAATGATTCCTTTTGTTAAAATGAAACATATCCTAAATATCACCACAATATGCAAGATAATGCAATAAAAAACATAGGGCTTACTGGAAAAATGGGAAGAGGGGCACAACCCATTCACAAACTTTGTCAGTGACATATTTAAAAAGGATAGTAACTGCCCAGCTGGTGTGCCTCAGTGGTTGAGTATTGACCTGGGAACCAGAAGGTTGCTGGTTTGATTCCTGATCAGGGCACATGGCCGGGTTTCAGGCTTGATCCCTAGTGGGGGCCATGTAGGAAGGAGGTAGCCAATCGATGAGTTTCTCTCTCATTGATGTTTCTTTCTCTCTGTCCCTCTCCTTTCTCTCTAAAAATTAATAAAAATATATTAAAAATTAAAAGGACAGGAACCAACAAAAATGGTAGCGCATGTCAAATGATTACAAAGTACATACTAGCACATGCACCAATAAATATGACACTTCACCTTGAAAGACACTTAGAATTTTCCTCGTGGCAGTGAATGTTGGAAGTAGCTTGTCAATTATTGTGAAGAGGTGGGAGACACTAATCTGAAATCAGGTGGGATGCTGTAACACCAGATGTGGACAGGTGTGACTCGTAACACAAGTGGTGTACTGAGGCAGCTGATGAATGTTTGCATATGTGCATGTGTGCTCATTGAATTTTCCAATGCAGTTTGGTTCAGCTTGGTGCAGTTTCCCATGTTCATCTAGTTTCTTGCAGGTGAAATCACACATAAATAAACAGAATATTCACATTATGCTCAGTTCCCTAATGCACTAATTGGTTGGACCAAATCTGCATTTCAAAACCAGCTTTATAGCAGAACTGATCGAATCTCTTTTGTACCTGACCCCATGCCTTGTGGGGAGTATACAGTGGCAATAACAAGACCCTGCTGCCCTGCAAGACCTCAATCTGGTGGACACAGTGATGCTCACAGTTGGCAGGGAACAATTAAAGTAACTGTGTTAGCTCAGGTCAGAACTAGGCATGGTGGAAGCACAGAAAAAGCCTCTTCCCCTTCTTGGAGGAGTCAGGGAAGTCTTCTCTGAATGACAGTGATGCCTACCGTCCTCTGGGATGTTCTATGTGCAGTTATTGCTCTATTACAACATGAATTTGCAGTAGGTACAATTATTTCCCCCATCTTTGTACAGACAAAGAACCGAGGCACCAAGAAATAAAGTAACATGCCCAAGGTCACACAGCTAGTAATTTGCAGGGTATTAGCTCGGTGTGGCCCTAACATCCCTGCTCTTAGCCACTATTTCAAACATTTCCGCTGGGATTTAGCACATGAGTAGTGTTCTAGGAGGATTAGCTCAGGAGACAGATTGGCAGGTGGTTCCGGGATGCTGAATGGGGAGATGTAGAAAGAGCTGCAATGACCTGTTAGTCAATGGTGAGCTCTTATCTGTTGAGGGAGGGGAGGAGCTCTTGGGAAGTGGGAGTAGTGGGTTGAGAGCCATAAAGGAGAGGGTTGAGAAGAAGTGCCCTCAAACGCCATTACATTCAAACGGTCTCAAGAGAACACTAACAGGATTTTGACGGACGTGTGCCTACCTTGGCCACTGTTTGTACAAAGATGGTTCATAAGATACATCACAAATCCCTTAAGTACAACAAAACTGAATTAAGTTCCTGCAAATCGGATGTATTCTGTGTTTCTAACTGCCTAATAGTCCAGAAGGTACTGGGGGATATCACTGATGTTGCCTCTAGGAAAGTTTCTTTGTTGGTCTCCTAGGCTCCAGCCCAACATTATAGGAGGTATCTAAGCACATGTGGTGGGGGGGGAGTGTGTTACCTGGCTGGTCTTTCCCTGTGACATTTTTAACAATTTATCCCACGTCCTGCGGCTACTGTTCCGCCAAAAGCATGACGTCTGATCACCTTATTAATATTCCATAGTTCTCTGGGGGCATTGGGAATCTTCAGTACCCAGGATAGTTGATTGATGAGCCCTTTAAATAAAATAAATATAATTTTTATAAGTAGTGTTGCTAAATTAGAATCCCATATCAGGGGCTACATTTGACCATTTTTATATGCTATCCTACACTGATATGTTAGGGGAAAGGAAGGAACATAGAAATTGCTCAGTGCTCCAAAACAAGGTATCTGACAATACACCTGTGGCTTTGGGGGGCTTTATGCTAGAGTCTGCTTTCCAGAGGTGAGTTCCAGCCCTCTTTGGGGAGTGGGGGGAGAAGGGAAGGCTCACTGGGTCTCTCAGTTGCTCCCGACTGGCATGGGAAAGGAGAGGGATCTGTTTGGAAAGTGACCCTGATTTTCGCAGTGCTTTGACTAATGCAGCTACTACCACCAACACCTGTGTCCATGTGGGTCTATGGTTTCCTGCTTACAATGACCAATGAACAACAACACATAAAAGCAGATTATCCATTTGCACAGATTATACAGTCTTAGATCCAAGTGGTACCACTTGATACTGAATCCTCTTCTAGAAACCTCCTACAGCAAACTCTCAATTGTCACAATTTTTAGGTTAATATGACCCTTTGTGACTAGTACCGTGTTTCCCCGAAAATAAGACATCCTCGGAAAATAAAACCTAGCGCATAGAAAGATAAGACATCCCCTGAAAATAAGACCTAGTGCAACTTTGGGAGAAAAAATTAATATAAGACACTGTCTTATTTTCATGGAAACAGGGTAGCACCACATTAGTCCAGGCTTCACCTTCCCTCAGTTTCTGAAGGGAAAGAAGGATTTGGATAAGATCATGTGTCATCATCCTATGGAAGAAGTCATTAATCTCATTACTCCATTCCGTCTTCTAACTTCACTTCCCATTCATCTGAGGCTTCTCAATTCTTTCATGAAAATGTCCTTAATATTTAAGGTGATCAGATGTCCCGCTTTTGGCGGGAAGTCCCGATTTTTAATCATTTATCCCACGTCCCGCAATGTTTTAAAAAAGTCCCGATTTTTGGAAAGAATCTTTTATTTATTTATTTATTTATTTATTTATTTATTTATTTATTTATTTATTTTTAAATAAACCTTTATTGTTCATATTATTACAAAAGTTCCTTATTTTTTTCCCCCTTCACCAGGTTCCTACCTCACCCTCTGCCCTCTCTCCCCCCATCATTGTCCTCATCCATAGGTGCACAGTTTATGTTCAGTCTCTTCCCGCACCCCCCACTTCTCTTTTCCCTGAGAATCATCAGTCCACTCCCCTTCCATACCTCTGATTCTATTATATTCAACAGTTAATATTGTTCAT